ACAGCGTCAAATTGGACATTTAAAGAGCACAGAGTGGGATCTCTCAGAAACAGGAGAGCAGGAGAATCTGCCCTTTCACAAGGAGACCGGCATGGCTGGGCCGGTCATTGCACTCCTCTTCCCCAGCGTGGAAGTTGATGAGGCTCTAGGGCCAGTCTCTTGGTCAACAGCCGGAGGCAAAGGTGGATCTGAGGGAAACGCAGCCTCTGTTGCCGCAACCACCAAGCCAAAACCAAATAGCCATTTTGCAGAAGATCAGTTGGTGATGCTAGAGAAACACCTGAACAAAGGAGCAAAATGTCTTCCTCCTCCCCAATGGAGCAGACAGGAGCCACCCCAGTTCTCTCTCCTTCCAAATTCACTTTGGCTCCCCCTTCCTACCGCTCAAAGTGAAATTGGGGTCTCTGATCAACAAGGTGGGCCAAATCCCTCCTATTTCCAACCTCCCAAAACAGGCAACAACTGAGGTGAGAGGAAAACAAAATCATTTATTTTCAGCCAACAATTTTGGCAATCTTACAATATGTGTGTAAAGAAATATTATATAAAGCAAACTCCAAATGGCTCAGCTACTAGAGTTATTAAAAGAGGATAAGAAATACTTGAATGCATATTAATGTTTTTCTACAGAAAGCTGCAGTTTCAAAGAGACATATTGGCTTTCTTGACTGGGCAAAGCTGAACAATTAATTTGATGAATCAAAATATCCCCCAATATCTCTAGGAAACCACAGTGGTTAGGAAGGAAGGCTGCACAACTGATCTCATGATCCATTTTTCTAAATTATAAAAATCTATTAACTGAAGGCTAGAAAAGGTGTACCTTTCTCTGTATCTGAAGCCTGCCCTCAGTTGGTAGATTGATTATTTGTTAAACTTTTGGAAAATCAAATATATAATCCAATTAATTAGGCAACAGATTAATTTTTTAAAAAATTAACTATTTTTTATGGACGAAATCTCAAAGCACACTTCAGAAATAGCATCTGAAAGAGGCATTTTCCCTTCCCATCAATGAACAGAATGCCCCTTCCAAGATGGTTTTTCTTGCAAGATGTTTATTCTACATATAAAAGCAAAGCCTTCCTTCATTCTCCAGATGATTCAACTGCATTTCCTTCTCAGGGGAGGTCCTAGAATTACTCCTGCAGATGAAAAAACCCTGATTTTCCCAGGCAAAAATCTGAACAAGGGCACTCATGAAAGACCCGAAATACATCCTAGTGACAGCCAGCTGGAAGGGCCTAAAGAGGTCCTCCTAAGAGAACAGCGTAATTCAGCAGAAGGTTGATCGCTCTTCTTTCCTCCCTCCCTACATGGGGAGTCTGCAGCCCCAAAGTTGTGCTACAAAGAGGGTGGAAAAAACAGGAGGGTTAGTTGGAGAGGAAGTCCAGATGAGAAACCCCAGAGTCCAGGCTGGAGGACCAGTGCTGATCATCAAGCAAAAGAACAGAATCAGCAGCCTCAAGAGAGGGAGATGGAGAGGAATCAGCTGGGTGGGATTTTGAAGTTACAAGAGGGGAAGGGCAGGGCTGTGAATGGCTGCTGGAGTGGGGGACCTCCTTCACAAATTATAAAAAGTATAGATGCCCTCCCCCCTCAAATATACAAAACCCAGTTGCCACCCAGTTTTGCCCCTGGAAGCAAGTGCAATAGGTTTCATGACCTCCAGAGAGCCCAGGTCTTCCTTCAGCATCTGGAGGGATGGATTCCCAGATGGACACAAGGAGGGGAGAGAAGCCTCCTCTCCATCCATGACTAGGACATTCAGGAAGTCCCCCTGCTGCCCCCTCCCTCCCCCCTGCACTGGGGACTCTCTGATCGCTGCAGGTCTCTGAGCTTTGTGAACGTGAGACAATCAGATCCTGGGAGGGGTCACAGTTTTGGCCTTGCAGAATGGCCAACACCATCTCCTGCTTTGGGAAGGGCCCTTCCTGGAGACAAGGAGGAGGAGAATAGGGTGCCTTCTTCCCTCAGCAACAGGGAGCAGTCAGGGCCCCTTCTGTTCCTAGCTGCAGTCACCTGTCATTTCCTTGGAAGGCAGAGAGGGAAACTGGAAACAGCCCACTCTCCTCCAACAAAAGGAACCCAGGGAGGAGGGGGAGAGGCTGACCCCTCCTGAGAGCCTCACCGCCTCTCCCCCAAACTCCTTGCCTTTCAGTGCTTTGAGATGAGCTGGAGAGAGAAGCAGGTTTCCCAAAGGATCTTCACCATCAATCAGTCCTTTGACCTGAAAGCCCTCACCTCCCTTCCTCCTCCCCCCCCCAATACAGCCCCCACTGGGGACACTCACCTGCCAGGGGGCTGCTAAATGGTCTTGTTGCTAGCAATGGAGGCGAATATGTGTAGCTCAGGGTTGAACTGTGGAGTCCTTGGGGGTCTCTGAGCTTGGGTCTTTTCTTGCAAATG